CTCTTCAGTCCTTTCGAGACCATGGACGTTGCAATACGTCCGAAACGTCGAGGTAATTAAAATATGTTTTATACGTGATTGAGTCTCTAGTTTCCTCTACTTCATTTCGATGGCAATTTTTATTATTTTCATCGCTAATTATCAGTAATTTTTCTTTTTCCATAAGACTTTAGTTACTCATTATTTAATTATAAAAACGATATAATCTATAAATATTTAATTAAGAACAGACTGATTCATTGTTTTGCATTTGCATTCTGATAACGTAAATGTCAACGCACAATGCATTCTGCGCAGTCAGCACGGTGTTATTGCAATCCTAAGAGGATTAAAAATAATAAATCTGAGTATAGACAGAATTTATATAAAGTTGAAAGTTAATTTAGAAACCCACTAAAAAAAATAGATTGATATACGTAAGTACATACGATATACATCTGTTTTGGAAAAATATTACTAATGTCCATTCAAAAGTGTTTATGTTGAACAATCACAGATACCAAAAACAAAGTGGTTATTATTATTGTAAAATAATATATATTATATTGTTTTGAGGTAACGTCGTCTTTTAGTCGTTCTTTTTTTTAACCGTCTTCAAAAAAGGGGGAAGTTCTCAAATCAACACTTTTTTTGTGTATGTTTTGTGAACCAGTTTTGATGATTTTGTTTCGTTGGAAAGTGGGCGCTTCATTTTTGGTTCCATTTAAATTTCAAGAAAATATTCCACCTGTAAGGGCAAACTAGGGGATGAATCTGGTGTCGCGCACTTTCCGGTAACCGACTACAATAAAACTTGGTAAATAGATGTAATTCCACAAAGTTTTGAGGTCTGTTTTTATTATAATGCAGATGTGGCCTAGTAACAAAATATAGAAAAATAGTAAATTTATTATATTAAAAAGTCACATTGCCGCATAATATATTATTTAAATTTTTACTGATATTTTTATTTTGATAATATATTGGTAAGGTAAAAAAGACAATAAAAACTTAAATACTAGAAAATTAAACTAGTATTTTTAAATTATATGAATAAAATTGGGTCCCTGCGGCATGGTGCTAGCAGCGTTCTCCCTTTGTATTGCTATGCCAATGCGTTGGACAAGGAAGCTGCCCTTGAATTTCCCAGACAGTCTATTAAGTTTTTGGATAACATTTTGTAAAGAATTTTTTATTTGAATTGCCATCAAACTACAAAATGTCTAACTCTAATATTACATTTATTCCTCTTATTCTTACTCCTAATGATATATTTAACGGAAATACGCGCGCACATTTACGCACAAGCGTGATAAATAAAGTACACTGTAACCACTATATGTGGGAGCATCATATCATGCAGTTGGAACAACAAAATGCCTAACAAGTCCGCCATGTGAACAACTCTATATCTGTGTACACACAGCTGCATGTCAGTCGTCCACATGATCAAATATGGCAATGGTCTGTGACCTAATTGTACTGACGCATGGTCTGTTACGACTGCTTTCATTTTTTTAGTTCCTCAAGTTAAATACACTGGACCGATTTAAAAATGTCTTCATTGTTATTTTTTTGTAAAATCTATTCAAACATCATAGATTAAAGAACAAAATTATATAAATTGCAAAAATATATAAATTATTTTAAAATAGTTATAGTATATTGTATGCGTAACTTACTATCAAACACTTTGTAAGTAAAAACTGAATATAATCTCCTCTTGTATCTTCTTAAAAATAATCTTTGCCATGACAGAGACGGGTGCACTGCAAACGCGACCGAAATAGACGGCGAAGCGCACGCGCACGCTCTCCCGCGCACCGCGATGTTCGAAATAAGGATTCATGGATCATTCTTGAATTAAAAGTCATCCTTTGTTTAATAGGACTCTCTTAGCGAAATCGTGCTTTTTGTGTTTAAATGGACAAGTGATTTTTTGTTTTTGTTTGTTTGTAAGTGACAATGTTGATAGTTTTGTGCATCTTTGCGTGTTTAGGACGAGGTGTTCTCGGTAAGTCCAATGATGACAATATTAATTAAAATCCTTAAAATAATACAATTATAAAAAGAACATTGCGTTTACAGTCACTTCTTATATTTCTTATGTAAAATTACACACCTCTAATAAGCACAAAAATTAATTTAATTATTAATAATAAAGAGGTTTAAAAAAGAGCATTTTTTTTTTTCATTTTTAGCTAACCGTAGTACACAGGCACCCAGTTTGAGAGATAGGCATACTTTCGTACCCTTTTATGCCTCTTTCCTAATAAAGTTACCATTATTATTTTAAACATATTTACATGGCATTAAACAGTAAATACAGTTGTGATGAACTGATGATTTGACCTACCACTTCTAAACCAGAGAGTCGTGTTTTCGAATACGGGCTTGTATCTCTGAGTTCTGAGCATATTTTTAATTTGAGGATCATGAGCTTTTCGGTGAAGAATGACATCGTCAGCAACTTGTGCACATCTGTTAAGTAATTTAATGACATGTGTGAAGTTCCCTGTGGGAACTAAATAAAGCCAAAGTCCTCTCGTTGTGAGAGAAGGCCCAGCAGTGGGACTATAAATATAAGAGATATCAAAAACGCTTAAACTGATCAGCACAATTTCAAATGTTCAAATACGATTTTGCTTGGGTCGAGCGACAGGGACACTGGCTTTCTTTCAGAATTAATTTTTTTACAACCGAACATAAGGCCACTTGAAAAATGCACATCGTATAATGTTCTGTATACTTCAGTTGATATAAAAAAAAACATTGGTATGTGTAAAGTACGTATTGAATAGAGTGGTTTTCTTGAAAAAATTCGAGGTACGTTTGTGTTTTTTTTCTATGGTAAACATTTATAGGAATCGTGTTTTTACACTGTATAGAAATCAGATCATATCCTTAATTTTACTAAATTTTTTTTCCAAAGTAATTCATTTAATTTTAATTGAATCAACCAAAGCCATTTGAGGGTGAGACTCCTAGGGTCGTATTCTAGAACTCTACTCAATGCTCAAGTCAGGATTTGAGTATGATTTAAAGCACTGGAAATCATACTCAAGTCCCTTCCATTAGGGTCGTATTTCCAGTGCTTTTGTTTCCAGTGCAATCCTGACTTGAGCATTGAGTAGAGTTCTAGAATACGACCCTTAGACGTAAAGAGGCTTTAGTTGACCTACTTAAGGGGTAACAATAAATTTACAGATAACAAAACTACTATAAGTAAAACAATAAGATTATCTTTTAATTGAGTGATAACAAAGTGATGTTTACTTTTAAGTAAGTACAAAACATTGTATTTAAAGCAGTTGTTCGAAAATAAAGTTTCTTTACGAATTTCATATTATAATAATAACGCACTCAACATAGCCCCGCACTAGGGAAACCCTATATCGCGGGTGCCGTGGACTCACACATAGACAACCACAAATTACACCCAAACTCACGAGAGAAATAAATGTAGGCCATACAAATATTTATACCGGCCTGGGAATCGAACAAAATGTATGGGAGCTTTTAACGTTAAAATTTCAGATTTATCTAGTTTTATTTTCAAGAAGTTATTTATTTGATCATATATCGTCCAGGAAAAAAACTAAAACACAGTAACAAGGACAAATAAAAGTTACTGCTTATTTCTAACAGAAATTTCTTCCTGCAGACCAAAATACAGGTTACAATAATTATAATAACGAATTTACGTGCACAACATAACAAAAATTATGTAAAAGAAAAACGATATCAATGACATTAAATTATTAAAACTATTATAAATACTTACATAAATACATATTTCATATCATAATATCTATAAAATGGATGGAATAGAGGATAAATAATGCTCCGTAACTCGCATTTTAAAGATAGCTAAGGATTTACTATCTTGTACAGTAATGGGAAGTGGGTTCCAAAGAATGATTAACTATTATCATAATTGCAATATTATATGATCTCAGTGATGTGTCAATGGAATTACAATCGATTGCATCGACTTATGCAGATGTCGGATGCGGATGCAGATATTTAAAAATATGCAGACGTCTGCGGCATCCTTACTACAAGCGGCTAATTTCAAAGGGTTCTAAACATCATGTTTATTTTTCTAAAGTAACGTAAAATGATTTAACGAAATGTGACAGCCTTTGTACAATAAGGTTTAACAAGATTACGTTTCAAAATTAGATTACAGTGAAACGGTTAAACGTCAACTGTAATTAGATTTCGGTGGGAGAATTTGGAAAGGTAGCTGTACTTCACTGGACAAATTCTTTCGTAAGCTCTACTGTTACTAAAGTCTTTGTATCTTTGACGATCTTTGTATATGAATAAATACAAAGTCAAATTAGATTTTTACCACGTTTAACTAATGTCATATGCCTCCATCAACAAATTCATAGGCATAACACACACACAGAGAGAGAGAGAGAGAGCCAACGTCTTTTTAGATACGGTTCTGACAAAGCGACGTTTCTCTGCCATGACTTGCAAAACTATTTATTTTAATAAGTTATATGTGTAATATACGTTCCTTTTCTGTCATAGATTTCTCATAGATGGCGCTACGACTAAAAAGTCGTTGAAAGACCAAGTACAAAGACACGACGCAAGCACATAGAAAAATTCGTGAGGTCCGTTGGTTCGTTCCGTGGCTTAGTTGGTATAGCGTCTGGCACGGTATGCAAGAAGACGTTTTTTTCGTTCGAATCCGACCGGATCGAAGGAATTTTTTCTGAGTGTTTTTTTTAAGAATGTTCGATCTTTGTATTAATAATTATAACAAACTAGTGGAGTAATTTCACAAAAAAATAATTGAATATCAATTCAATAAAAATTTAATTAATACGTTCCTTTTGTTATAAAAAATTGTTACTTTTAAGTGGTTCAATATAATTATAATTATCGTGTTAGTTTCAGTGGATCCTATAAGCTGTCATGGAAGTGAATAAAGTTTTTATCTATCTATCTATTTTATAAATAGAGGGAATGGTACACCAATAAAGAAAAAAAAAAAATCTACCGTTAGCTTATCTAAATACAGATAGAAAACTTTACCGAGGGCCAAGCCCTGGGGCATCATGAATAGGAACCTGGCATCGTTTCCTCTTTAGGTAGCTAAACTTGTTCTTTGGCAGTGGTAACTACCAGCTTTCTGGTTACCGGACGCTTCAACGACACAAAATGAAAGCTTCTTAGCAAGGAGCGTCACTAATGGCCTCCAGGGGCTAAGTTATTTTTAATTACACTAGGTGACGTGATTAAGTAGTGCGCCTATCCATTACAGTTGCACTGAAAGTTAGAGCTTAAAAATTGCAAAGATCTGTGAGACCTGCTACGCCTGTTACCCTGGATAATAAGTCGATAAGTCTGTATGTGTCTGTAATTTCACCAACACCCTAAGGCTCAGTTTACATTGCCGCGAAACGTTATGGAATGGAAGTGTCAAATTCGCTTCGCTGCGCGAGAAGGCGCATCGCAAGGTCCTGGAACATTCGCGAGTTTTCTCGCAACTGCGTCTTGACGCTATAGTAGGTCTTCAGTTGTTTGGTGTGAGATCTTTTATATAACCGGGATGGTGGACTTGTATACTTGCATTATTCTTAGAATTTTCGTCGCTCTCGTTTTTTTCGTACCATAACGCGCTTAAAGTAAGCTTATTATAATGTTAAAACTATGACGTTTTATTGGCACTTTTGTGACTATTCATTCACTCAGTTCGTACTATGACGCGACTTTGACATTAAAGTAATATTGCTCTTATGTCAAATTTAGCAATCTTAACACGGATGCAACGGAAACAATGTTATTTTCAGTTTTATTGTTTTAATTTGTAATGATTAAAAGTTAAGTTGAAATTATTTATTTACGTATATCTCTTCAATATTTTGTTTATTTTTTATTTAATAGCACATACGAAATTATTTCTCGTTAAATAAAATACGCCATGTTTATTTCATGAAATTATGACAGCGCTATCCATATGCTCCTTGGCGAAACTAACAGTTGACACAACGTGACAGTCATGAAAATGCGGAAAAATAATTCAAAACAACCATTGACTTGCAATTATATGGGCGTCGGGTCCGCGCTAAAAAGTGTCCGAACTTATAGGGCGTTAAAGTCGTATACAGAGCGTCATTCACGCTTTAGTCTTCGTTGTTCGACTGACAGCGAAGCATGCAAAATTAGACAGTACTGCGATGACATTACAATTTAAATTCAACGTTTTAGCTTTTTCATATTCCTTTACATGTCACTACGTTTAAATAGGTGACTTGGGACATTTTTTTCGTGGTTTTTGTATTAGACCCGTCGTCCATTTATTTGCAAGTCAATGAAAACAACGTAATTTTAATAGATTTCATTATTACATACCTATTTTTCTTTTTTTGGCAGTTAAAATTCTCTGAATATAAATAATATTAAGTATTTTAACATTGTACTACGATAGGACGATTCGGAACATCAAAAAATAAAGAGATGGCATTATACAGTTGATATAGCGTTATTTCTTTCCCATATTTAGTAAGCAATAGAAAATATTGGGAAAGCATTACATTTTTCAGTCACTTTAGCAATAATACATTACTTGGTTGATAGGTTTGTCATGGTACGAATATGAGTAATATTATTGGTTGTACCATCGGTCAAACGCGGGCTAAATAAATCCACCCCCGGGCCTGCAAGGAGCACGCGGGGGTGTTGGGGGGTCACGCGAATGACGGAATTCGCGATTTCTCGCCGCGCGCGCTTTGGGCACTGCGACTCGGAACGACGGCGGAACGAATTGTGCGCGAGTACCTACTTTTTCTTTAATACAATAAGTGTAATACAGTTCACTAGTTTTATTCAACTGGATACCCCTTGTAAGCGATAGGGCTCTAGTTCCCACTAATTAATGGTATAATGGTATGCTTACATTGAAATAAGATTGTTTTTGGAAAGGTTATGGTAGGCCCCCTGAACGCAGTAATGATTACATTACTGCTTGGCGGCATAAATAGGTGAGATGGC